CATTGAAAGTCAGTTTGGGGGTGGAGGTAAAAGGGGACAGGACTAGGAGACAAGCAGAAAGTAATAGAGACAGGATGCATAGAGAATCCTGATGGCTTTTTTTTTTTTTTTTTTTTTTGAGACAGAGCCTCAAGCTGTCCCCCTGGGTAGAGTGCCATGGCATTACAGCTCACAGCAACCTCCAACTCCTGGGCTCAAGCGAGTCTCCTGCCTCCGCCTCCCAAGTAGCTGGGACCACAGGCGCCCGCCACAACGCCCGGCCATTTTTTTTTTGGTTGCAGCCGTCATTGTTGTTTTGGCGGGTCCGGGCTGGGGATTCGAACCCGCCACCTTAGGTGTACGTGGCTGGCGCCTTAGCCGGTTGAGCTATAGGCGCCGAGCCATCCTGATGGCTTTTGATGTCTTAGTTTCAGTTCCTAAGGTATCCATCCCTGTCTTTAGATTTCAATATCTGATTATAAACCTATCTTTTTGCTTAAACTAGTTCTTACTCTTCCTGGGTGAGTTCATCCACCTAGCTGGTTTAGCTACCACTTTTATGCTGATAACTCACAAAATGTTGTCCTTAACCTGGACCTCTCTCTTGAACCTCATACCTGTTTATCCAACTGCCTCTTGGACATCTCCACTTGAGTGTCCTACTGATAACCTCAAATTCAACATATCGAAAGCTAAACTCATCATCCCCCCTACCCTAGTCCCATACTAAAACACACTCTTTCTCATGTGCTATCTCAGTGAATGGCACAACTAACCTGAGTTATCCCAGACTTTTCCTTCCTATTTACCTCCCTATCCTCTAGGTCTCTAAGCCAACTGTAGCTCCCAAATATCCTTCAAAGCTCTCCTGTTCTCTCCACTCCTATTCCTGTCCATCATTTCAGTCCCTTATCATTACTCTTGTCTTCACTCTCAAATGTCTTCAATCCCCCCTTCCACCCAGTAGCCAAAATCATCCTTCTAATTTCTGGCTATGGTCACATTACTCTTCGGCTCAAAATTCTCCAGTGGCTCCCTACTATTTTCAGGATAAAATCTGAACTCCTGCAGCTGGGTTACAAAATTCACTCACATTGCATTCAAATGCGCAATGATATAAACCTCTTCTGTTTCCTATAACTGGTCTGATCTTTCTCACAGTGTTTTCACCCTGCTGGGTAACGGGATGGGGGAGAACTAAAATTAATCCACTCTGGTAAACTCCATAGGATCCAATAATTTATTTTAGACAGTCTCTAAGTAATTCAGTAGCTTTGGATGACTCAGTCTCTCAGATTATTTTATCCTTCCCTTTCTTCCTTTCAAGATAGCATCTACATCTATAGGGGTCTTAAATGAATTTCATGGCACTGGAGGGAGAGGGCCTTCCCTTGGTCACATGGTCCTTGGGGTGTGTCAGTTGGCATTTGCTGAGATGTGGTTGGTTTGGTATAAATGAATTAGTGAATAACAAACCTGAGAAGTAGCTATTACTATAACCATTTTACAGACGAGGAAGCTAAGGCTAAGACTGGTTAAATAACTTGCCTGAGGTCACAAAGTTAGTAAGTGGCAGAACCAGGAATCAACACCACCCTGATTCCAAGAGGCACTTGGCTATATGAGTCTAGAACTTTTGAGAGAAGTTAAGATTTGGGAGCATGAAGAATCTTCACCATAAAGCTTCAGCAATGTGACTACTCCTGGAGAATATGTAGAGGGGAGTGAGAAGAAGGCCTAGATCAGAATATCTAAGAATCACAGGTCAAGCACGGTGGCTCACGCCTATAATAGTAGCACTTTGGGAGGCTGAGGCAAGAGGATTGCTTGAGGCCAGGAGCTCGAGTCCAGCCTGAGCCACAGTGAAACCCTGTCTCCACAAAAAATAGAAAAATTAGCTGGGCGTGGTGGCATGTGCTTGTAGTTTTAGCTACTCAGGAGGCTGAGGCAGGAGGATCACTTGAGCGCAGGAGTTCGAGGTTGCAGAGAACTATGTTGTGGCCACTGCCCTCCAGCCTAAGCGACACAGTGAGAACCTGTCTCAAAAACAAACGAGAACCACTGGCATGTAAGGGGGTGAAAGCCGGGGAGAGAGGAAGTCCTATCTGACTGCTCCTGTTTAAGCTATCTTCCTCTTAGGAGAGCTAGAATGGGCTCTCCTAAGGACTTCCACCATGCATGGACCTATCCCAACCAGAGCTGAACTATATACATTGGGCTCCCCCAACAGCACAGCAAAGCACAAGCCTGCGACCAAAACTCGGCGGGAAATAGTAAATGTGTCCAAGAACTTGTGTCGTCAGAGATTTTCACACCTCCTAGGGCCAGGAAATGTGGGGCCAACTACAAACCCTCCATAGTGGGGATATACAATCCATACGCCGGTGGCAATGAGACATGGGGACTGTAGGGAGCTTCCTAGATGAGGAGGTTCAGTCTTCGGCAACGTATGGGCCTTCCTCCAGACAGCAGGGACAGAGAACGCTTCCGCATATGAAGGGCTGGTCTCCTTAGATTTGGGAATTAAAAGGCCTTGGCCCTTCTCAGATATTGGGTGCGCAGCCCTTCCACGTGTGGAATGTACAAAATATTCTGCAAGAAGATAGGCCTCGCCCCCACCCAATTTCCTCAACCAGGAAAGATCAAGGGACAACTGCCCTTTCAGCTCCCCTCCTGCCCCGCGCCTCCTACACAAGGGGTGGACCGACCGTCCCCACCCCAGCTCACGACCAATGGCGCGGGAAACCGGAGCGGCCAGCCAATAGAACAGCGGCAGCGGCAAGGGGATTGCTCCGCCTCAGGAGGCCCTAGGCCGCCAACCTCCCAGGAGGCGGGGCTCTTAGCTGTTTTGTTGCCTGCCGAGCCCCGCCGAGCCCAGCCGAACGCAGCCGAGCCCAGCCGAACGTAGCCGAGCCTAGCCGAACTCTGCGCAGCTCCCGCCGCCGCCGCCGCCCGAGTGCCGCCGAGCCAGCGAGCTAGCGGCCGCGGCCGCGGAGGAGGTGCCGCCCCAGGGGGAGGAGGCGCCCGCTCGCTGCAGACCGCCCGCGGCAGAGGCCGCCCCGGTCGCGCGGCCGAGGGGGAGAGCCGGGGGAGTGGACGTCGCCTCTACCGGTCTCCCGCCGCCCCCCGTCCGCAGGCTTCCGAACCTCAGTCGGCGCTAAGCATCCCGCTGCCTCGGACCCTCCTGCGGGCGCGCACCGGGCTCAACTCAGGTAAGAAGGGGGCCTCCCCCCACGGGCTCGGGGACCGAGAACTGCAGACCCAGACACACAACCAGGAAAAAGAGAGACAAACACAAAGACACACGAGAGACGCACAGAACCACCGAGTCAGACTCCACGGAGAAGGGGAGAGAGACACGTCCACGGGGACAGAGGGACACACAGCCTGTAAGAGAGAGACACACAGAGAGACTGATACAGAGGTACACAAAGAGACAGACTCGGGGAGAAACGAGACATACCAGAGTCACACTTAGTCCGAGATGGGGACACAACACAGAGGCATATATAAAGACAGCCACACAGACACAAACGTAGAGGTGGCTATGCAGAGGCATAATAGGCACACATCCAGCAAGAGAGAAGAGTAGACAGACAGACACAGATGCACCTGACTCAGGGAGACAGTCCCACAGAGAGGCACCCTTAGGTACACAGCCTTGGAGACATAGAACCCACACATGCCTGCCAGGGCCTCCACAAAGTTCCCTCTGTGTGAGCTGGCACCTCTGGAGGTCTCCTGGGCAGGCTGGCTAGAGTCCTGAGAGAGAAAAGGCACCCAGGCCACACCAAGCTGGTCACAATCCCCGTCCTCCTGGGCCTCAGGCTACCTCAGTCCCACCTCCAACAGGGTTTTTGAGCCTGGGAAGCGTAGTGGGCAGGACCAGGCCGTGCCCACTGGTTCTGAGGAGAATGAGATGAAGGCTGCTTACTCTGGTCTCCCCACTCTGGCTACACTCCTCATTTAGGTGCCCAGAGTCAGGCCTGAGGATGGGGTCTTGGCTCTATGGGGTATTTGAGTCTGTGGGATTCAAGGTCCTCTGCCAGGGAGACCACATGTAGGCAAGGGGGGCTCTGTTCCCACCTCCTCTCCTCCCAGGCCTCACCCACCCCTCCCTCCTCACAACTGTCTCCTTTGCTCTGTACCCCTTGCAGGCTCAGGACTGCAGGTAGACATCACCACTGCCCAGGAATCATTGAGTGTGCAGAAAGGACAGCCTCCTTGGAAGGCCAGCCTTAACTGGAGTCCCACCTCGGCATGGGCCTTGCCATTGAGGCAGCTCCGCTGTCTGTGCTGCTCTGAGGGTGCTGCCCGTCATGGGGGCAGCCATCTCCCAGGGGGCCCTCATTGCCATCGTCTGCAACGGCCTCGTAGGCATCTTGCTGCTGCTGCTCTGGGTCATTCTCTGCTGGGCCTGCCACTCTCGCTCTGCTGACATCGACTCTCTCTCTGAATCCAGTCCCAACTCCAGCCCGGGCCCCTGTCCTGAGAAGGCACCACCACCCCAGAAACCTAGCCATGAAGGCAGCTACCTGCTGCAGCCCTGAAGGCCCCTGGCCTAGGCTGGAGCCTGGGACCTAAGTCCACCACACCCAGAGCCTGGAATCAGGATTCCAGAGTTCAGTCAGCCTGAGATCCAGAACTTGGAGTCCAACCTGCTTTGAGCTGGATCCAGTAGCCCAGAATCTAGCCAGCCCGGAACCAGGAAGGGCTCATTGGCCCTAGGGAGATGGTCCTGGGGTGGGAGTTCATGAGTTGGTGCTAGGGCCAGGGCCGTATGGACTCTGCTCCATCCCAAGGGCCAAGGGGCGGGTCTACCCTTTCCCTAGGCTGAGCACCTCTGGGCCCTGTAGGTTGGGGAAGCAAACTGGAACCCATGGCAATAATGGGAGGGTGTCTAGGCTGGGCCCCTCCCCTGGTCCTCCCACTGTTTGCTGGATAATAAATGGAAGTATGGCTGTACTCTGAGATTCTCTCCTCTTCCTGGGCCCTGCAGCAGCAAAATTAAAGGTGTGAAGTGGGCTTCCAGATGTAGGTTTATTTGTGCAAAGAAGGGGTAATGGTGGTTGAGGGCCAAATCTTGTGGTAAGGTGCTGGGACCTTGAACAGAATGAGAAGGGCAAATGCTGGGACCTAATCAGGGGTGGGGTGACATGCCAGGAGCTAAGTTTGGGCTAAGTGACCAGGGTCAGGCACTAAAAGGTTCAAGAAATGGGACAGGGACTGAGGGCAGGCTCTCAGGTCTTGGTTTTCACTTCCCTCACCAGGTTCAGCAGTTTGTCCAATTTTGCGATCTCCACAGCTGGACCCTTCTGCACTTCCTGCCCTTTCTTTTCCTGGGAAGAGGGAAAGTATATGTGGGGGAAGAATGGTGAAGGATGGGCCACATCTCTCTGGGTCTGAGCACCACCTGCTCTGCCCATTCTGTCCCACCCCGTTTCCTACCTTCCCCAACTCAGGTGAGGTGACATAGGGGCCCAGCTGAGGGCCTGTATGAAGGCATTCAACTCTGGCTCAGAACTAAAGATAGACGTAGGCTGGAGGAATGGGAGAAGGCATCTATCCCCTGACCCTCAGAGGAACTAGCCTTTCAGGCCAGGGGGATCTGATGGTGGGAGTGTGGGGAGGCCTAACTGTTGGGACCACCCTTCTCACAGGTCTCTGGCTGAGTCCTATCAAGACTGAAGTAACAGGTGTGTGGGAAAGGAAAGGGGGTGTAGACAAAGCCACAGGTGCTCTTTCCTATTACTCTGACCTAATGCCTTCAGGCTAGATTGGGAGTGGGGTGCCATTTGGGGCCAGGCCTACTATGTCAGAGGGGATATCCCATGTGACTCTGGATGTCATTGGTTGGTACTGTCCCTCACAAGAGCAGATCCTGAGTTTATAACCCTTCTGCCCACCTGCAAAGCACTCTACTTGGGCCCTGAGAAAAAGGGAATTGAGACACAAGGTTTGTATGTCCATAGGCCCCAAGAACTTGGCAGACCAGCACCACTCTCATCCTCCCTACTGTCCAGTGGAGTGTGGGCTATGCTGGGCAGCTGCCATTTCCTATCTGCCCTCTGCTCCTGGGCCCCCACCCTCTCAGCCACCTGTGCCTGCTGCTCACTGGCATCTGCCCCAGCCACAGTCTGGCCTGGGTTGTAAGTTGCAGGGAGAGTGCAGGACTAGTAGGCCCTTCCCTAGTTCCATCACAGTTGCTGACACTATGCAGAGCTCAGATTTCCCCCTACTGTGACCCCTGCACCTGCTACTAAATCTATCTCCCCCATCCTCTTGCAGTCCAGTGCCGTTGCCATTTCGCAGCTTAACTTTACACTCTTGAGGTAGAAGATAAAGAGCTCTTTTTCTTTTTCTCTCTCTTCTCACTCTCCCTCTTGAATTAAGCTTGAGTTCTCTTCTTGGCCTTACCTCATACTCTGGGAATTAGGAGATATGGGTTTTGGTTCTCCAGCTCTGTCATTAACTCCCTTTATGACTTTGGGCAAGTCTCTTGCCTTTCTGAGCTTATTTCCCTTCTCTATAATAGCCTTTGACAAGTTACAGGGGTCCTTTAAACAGGGGGCCAGTTCACTATCCCTCAGACTGTTGGAGGGCTGGACTGTGGGCCCTGGGACGAGTCGGCTGCTAAGCAGGACAGGCAGTGGTGGCAGAAACACCCGGTGGGCCAGATAAATGTCCTCGGCGGGCCGTGTGTAGCCCATGGGCCATAGTTTGAGGACGCCTAATAGGCTCTGACACCAATCATGGGAAGCTCCTAGGCAAAGAAGCTCAGGTTCTGTGTGTAAGCCCTTTTAGGAAAGACAGGGAGTCTGCAGCTTACAGAAGAAAGGCAGTATGGATGCCCAGATTTCCTTTTGCACGAATAGCTTGGCCACTGTTAGGGTCAGGTGGCAATTTCGCAGGAACTTCTAATCCACTCAAGTACCAGGCCCTAGCTGTGCCCTGCTCGGGTCCTAAGTGTTACAGGCACCCATGTTTTCAGGTCCTTAGTGATACAGGTCCCCAGATACACAGAGCCTAGCTCTCCCAGAGCTCTTCCCAGGGCTCTGACCTTTGCCCTGGGAAGAATTGAGACTTGAGAAGATCCTTGCCTGCCTGGATCAGAGTGGGTAGGGCAAGCTCCCATCCATATCTCCTGTCCTCATAGTGTCATGGTTGTACCATCATCCCTCCTAGAGGGTTCCAGCTCTGCCAGCTTAATCCTGAGTCTCTCTCCTTGTTAAATTAAGAACAGATTTTATCTATTCAACAAATTGTGCAGCCTCCTTTTCCCTCCTGGAGGCCAACTAGCTCTGCTCAGCAAAGAGATTCAGACCACGCCCAATCCTCCTCCCCCCCCACCCCCCAACAAGCCCACCACAACCTCTGGGCCACAGCTGCAGGCGCTTAGCAGCCTTCAGAGTATTTATAGCCAAGTCCACCCCCTCCCCCAGCTGGCTACAATTATAGGCCTGGTCAAACTCCCAGCCCTTGCCTTTCTAGGTGGGAAATAGATCAAGACCCATCAGAGGGATGGTGCAGTGGTAGAGGCATGGTAGGAAGAAGTCAGTAGTTGAAAGAGATAGGCCCTCAAACTGCAGTAAATGTCTCAAATTGCAACCAGGAGATATGGTCATTGGAGCAAGTTGCCCCAGCCTTGACAGAAAGCAAAGAGCCATTTCCACTCTTAGCACACAAATGGGCAGGACTGCACTCTGGTTTCTTGGACTCTGGATTCTGCAGCCCAGGCTATGAGGTCTGTGTTCTTAAGTTTGAATCTGGACTCAGGTCTAGACTTTGAGGTAATGGGTTCCATGGCCTATATGAGGCCTGTGTGAGGTCTGTGTTCTTAAGTTTGAATCTGGACTCAGGTCTAGACTTTGAGGTAATGGGCTCCATGGCCTATATGTGGGGTTCTTGGGCTCTGGGCAGGGTCTTGGGATCATCAGAGACCCCAGAAACAGTAACCAGAGTTCAGAAGGAGGACCGCATAGCTGCTGACCTACTTACCCTCCTCATAGCTCACTTCTCCCTGCTCACTTCCTTCCTCCCTGGGTGGGCCTATAGCTCCCAACTCAGGGACCACTGGAGCTGAATCCCTGCGTAAGCCCAACCAATGAAGCAGTGGACTAAACCCTAATCACCCTGCCTTGGTGACCTGTCACACCCACAGCGTCCTGCACTCCAAATAAGCCAATAATGGCCTTACATGTGCTTCTCCTGACTTCAAGACTCACCTGCTCACTGGCTATGTCCACCTGGGGTCCCCCTAGATAATTCAGATGCAGCATGCCAAATTGCTTTTTTTCCTCACAAACCTGCTTCTCCTTCTGTGCTCCTTATTTGGGCAAAGACACCATACTTACTGTGGATTTCCCAAGCTAGAAACCTGGGGGTTACCCCTGGCTCCTCCCCTTTCTCTCATCCCCACCTTCCTGGAGACTTTGTCTATCACAGCAGCCCAAACTCCCAAAGCCCATACCTTTGGCATCTTGCGTAAGTTGGGTGAGAGTTTGAGACAGGTGACGTGCCCACGGTCATCGCCCACAATGATGATGGGGTGGATGGGGTTGAACTGCACATGGGTGATTTTGTTCTTCTTTCTGGCCACCACAGGCTGGTTGCAGATGGCCTCATACTTGTTGACCGCTAAGTCAAACACATGGGCCTATGGAGAGGTTGGTGTCAGCACACTTGGGATAATGATGTCTCTGTCCCCTACCTCAGAGGAACCAGCCCCTGGCCTTTCTGGGGAAACACTGCAGAGGGCTAATGGCTAGTACACTAGAGCTGGAGGCAGCAGGAGAGGAAATTTTGTGTCTGTTTATGTTTTTCCTGCAATTGAGGGAGTGAGAATACAAAAGTTTTGGAGAAATTTTAAGTCTATGCAGAATCAAGAATAATAGCAGCTACCATTTATTGAGCACTTATATGTACTAGATGCTGGGCAAGCATGTTACATGGTTGCATTCAAGATCTAATTGTGCTTTTCACAATCACTCTATAAAATGGTTCTGTTATTATCCTCATTTTATAACTGAGGAGTTAGAGGCTCTTATAGGCTAACTTTCTAATAAGTAGTAGAGCCAGGTTTTACACCAGTTAATACACATTAAGTGCTTAGACAGTGCTTGACACAGTGCTCAATAAAAGTTAAATGTTATCTTTACCACACCCTAAGTCCAACCCCCTACCAACTCTTGCTTGGACAACTGTGCAGCCTTCTAAATGGCCTCTCTGCTTCCACTCTTGCCCTTCTACAATTCATCCTCTATGCAGCAACCAGATTTACCTTTAAAAAATTAAAAACCCTCCCATAGTCTGTCTGGCACTGTAAATAAAATCCAGGTTCTTCACTGTAGCCCACTTCCACACTCTCATCTTGTGCCCTCTTTGCTTGTTCACCCCACTACAGCCATACTTGCCTCCCTGTTCCTTAAACTCCCAAGTTTGTTTCCACCTCAGGGCATTTGCACCAGCTGTTCCCTCTGTGGACTACTCCCTACCCCCACCCCCATTTCTACATTGTTGCCTCCTTCTTCCCATTAGACTCTCATCAAAGAAAGCTTTTCTGACCACTCTAAGAGACCACTCAGTACTTTACTTCTCTCTCTCTCTCTCTTTAACATAACAGCTTTATTGAGATATCATTCACATACTATAAAATTCACTCATTTAAAGTATACAATTCTTGGTTTTAGTATATTCACAGTTATGCAACCATCACCACCACCCGTTTAGAACATTTTCATCACCCTAGGCCACACAAATCTACTCTCTGTCTTTATATTTTGTCTATTTTGGACATATATAAATGAAACCATGCAATGTGTGGTCTTTTGTGACTGGCTTCTTACAGTAAGCATGTTTTCAAGGTTAATCTGTGGGGTAGCATGAATCAGTACTTCATTTCTTGTCATTGCTGACTAGTAATCATCTTGGATATGTTGCATTTTGTTTATTCATTCATCAGTTGATGGAAATCAGGTTGTTTTCACTCTTTGGCTATTATGAATAATGTTTCCACCCTATAGGGATGGCGATCATAAATAATACTGCTATAAACATTTACATTCACACATCATACTCTTTTAATTTCTGCGGAGCACTCAACACAGAGAATTTTGTTGCTTTTTGTCTCTTTCCCTTCACTAGAATGTAAGCTCTCTGAGAGCAGGTATCTGAATCTCCAGGGTCTAGCCTAGAGCTGGGTACCATAGTTGTCCCTTAGTAAACATCTGTTCAGTATATAGATGGCTGACTGACCTTAGAGAGATGCCTTTATCACTATATTCTTTCCTTGAGGAAGCAAGTGCTTCTTAGTTTATATCAAAGTTCATAAGGAATCTGGGTTTGCATCTAAGAATATGTTCACACAATGTTTGTTTCTGAGCTCTCACCAATTCTCAATGTTGAATAGACCCTTCCGATCTCACCCTACTAAAGTCTCTTCTCAGAATCACTGCACACTTCCAGGGATGGAGACCTCACTACCTTATAGACATTATTTCAGTCACAGCTCAACTCTGGTTCACAGACAGAGCTGGCCTCTGCCACCCCCTGCTCCCTCCCAATAGAGCAAAGAAGATAATTGCTCTATGGCCTCTCATTTCCCCAGAGTGCTTTCTCCTCCAAGACGAACAGCCCTATTTCCTCTTTGAGGTGTCATGAGATGAATGATTCTTCTTTTGGCTGGGCCCTGAGTGGCCTGGTCATTGAGAATACACAGTCTTTATGTTCCACCTTCCCCTACCTGACCTGGGCAGGGGGTGGGCTACCCAAGAAAGAGACTCTGAGATACTTCACCTGATATCAAGTAGGGGCCACATGAGCTCAGGAAGGGGGCACTTACCTTCCCATCTGTGGTAACTGCTGCAAATACAGTAGAAGAGTATGGTGCCCAGGCCACATCACCCACAGCTGAGTTCAGGTCATAGATGAACATGGGGGTCCTGTAGTAATGGAGATGGAGGGGTGGAAAGCCCATGACACAGAGAGCTCAGAGTGCCAGAGCCCAGGGTAGGACCCAGGGCAGGGAAGGGCCAGGGGCAGGCCCCTCACTTGATAGTATGGTCCCAGATCTTCACTGTCCAATCAGAGCTGCAGGACATGAAGACCTTGGTGTGGTATGGGTTCCAGGATACAGCATCCACCGCCATGTTGTGGGCATCATATGTGTCGAGGAATTGGCTGGAATAGGATTTAGAGCACTGGGGTGGGGTAGGGGTAGAGAGATGGATCAGGGTCAGGAATGAGAAAAAGGATAGCAGCCACCATTTCCTCTGGGGCCTGGAGGATCTGAGACTCTGCTTTTCTGCACCCCATGTCACTGTCACAGCTGAGCTGGGGCAAGCTGATGCCCGTTCTTCCCATTCTCAACACATCTAGAGAGAATGGAAGGGCTTGAGAGTCTGAGAGCTCAAAATGTGCAAGGTGGCCTTCCAGGAGGCTATAGTCTGCCAGTTGCCCTAATACCAGAGCATTCCAGGCCAAGCAGAAAAGGCCTTCTCTCCCTAAGACAGGGCAGAGAAGGTCTTAGGTCCTGGCTAAAGGTGACCTGGCCAATTCTCCTGCCCAGAGCCTGTGGACAGGCAGAGCCCTGGATCTACATGCAGCCTAGACATCACCCTTGCAACAGTGGTAATCATCCAACCTTGTGCAGGTAAGAGCAGGTGCAGAGCCAGGACTCTCTGACTCTCCTGATTTCCCATTCAGTTTCTGACCCTGATCAACATGCCCTATCTTTCGCTCTCTAGGAGACCGTGTGACTAACTCATCTCTCCTCTCCAGCCTCTCTAGGGCTGCCAATGGGAGGGGTGGAGAGGGGGTGGGGGACCTCTTTTGCATTCAGACCAGCTCTGGCTGGGCCTCAGGGGCTCCCGAGAGGCTGCCTGTAATTAACATTCTGAGTCTCAGAGCCTAAGAAAAGCTTGCAGCAAAGCTATTTCTGGATGGATGGAAGTTCAGAGGATGTTCACCTACTAACATTGAGACCTTGCAAAACTGGCCACAAGGTTCCATCCTGCCAGCTGGGATGCACCGGGTATCCAGAGATAAATATGGCCTTCAAAGCTCCGTTGGAGTTCAAATCTGCCCTAGGAAGTTTTCCCAGAATGTTCCAAATCCCTCAACCCCCACTCCCACCTCTACCTCCACTGCCAGGAAGGGAGGGAGGGCCCAGAGGAAAAAATCCTAGGCTGGACTAAAGTCACCTTCTAGATTCTCCATCCCCTTTCCTGTTTCCTGCCACCCACATGGGTCAAGAAGCATATTCTCTTCTCCCAAGAGGCTTTCCAGAACTGATGAACACTAAGATGTGTTGGAATAGGATCCATGGAGACATCTAAGCTCCTTAAGTGCTCAGGTCTAAGTGGCTCTCTAAAGAACCTGATGCAGGGGCACCACTGCCTCACCTTGTAGATTTTTCCCTCCTCTGTGCCCACTAGGAACAGGTAGTCGATCTCTTTGTGGAAGTCAAAGGCGGTGCCACAGCCTTGGGAGAAGAGGGACCAGCCTTAGCCCAGTTCTCAGAGGGAGGCTGCCAGCACCTCCTCTATTCAGCAGTGGGAGTATGCTCTGCAGGCACTCTCAGAGCAGGATTCAACACAGGACAGATGGAACCTGGGCCCCTGTAAGGGCTGGAACTGGGCCAGACAAACAAAAACCAACCCTCTGGCCTGTTTGTCCCAGGCAGTTAGGACTCTGCAAACAGTCAGGGGTTCCACAGACAGGAATGGGGGCCTGGGTAAATAAGGCAGGGATCGAGTTAAACAGGGTCAGTGTCAGGGTCAGGGTAAACAGGGACAGGGTCTGCAAGCAGGGACATGGTCTGTACAAACAGGGATATAGTCTGCATAAACAGGGTAGAAATTGAGTAAACAGGGACAGGATCTGGGTAAACAGGGCTTGATCTACATAAACAAGAATGGATCTGCATAAATAAGAACAGGGTCTGCAAACAGGGATGGGACTTCTGTAAACAGGAAAGGTCTGCAAAAAGCCAAGTGCTCAGCAGGCAGGGCCAGGCTTTCCCGTTCCCTCCTGCCTGGGCTCTGGCACAAGTAGGAGAGGTGGGGTGCTCAGTGAGGGGAAGGACCACCTCTCACACACTCTCACTGGGTCTGAATGACCTGGCTAGGCCTGGAGGTGAGTGGGTTGGGGCTCCTACCCACAGTGTATAGCTGCAACCCCTCAGAAACTTCTGTGGTGCTGCCTTCCACCTTCAGCTTGATGACATCTGTGTGAACCAGCTCACTCTGTAGCCACAGAAAGATTTTGGGGAAGAAAACATGAGTCGAGCTAGATCAGCAGGGTTTGGGGGTGCCCTCTGTCATGTAACTCCCCCCTCCCATTCATCCCTGTGTGACCCTCTCTGGGAAATAAGCACCTTCACAAGCGTCCAAGACACAATCCTGCCATCAGATGACACAGAGAAGAAGTTAAGGTTTTGGTCCATGTCATCCTTCTGCCACTTGACCTGAAACATTCCATATAGTGAGCGCTGGGATCCTGCTGGGGTGTTGAGTTAGGGCTATGAGCTGAGCAGGGCTCCCTTAAGCACCTATCTGAGGCTCAGCAGCAAGTCCTAGGAACCCATTTCCCAGAATCCCATGATTGGTCCTCCCTTCCTCTCTCTGTCCATCTCTGTCTCTCTCACTCCTCTCTCCTTGATTATCCTGGGTCAATAGTGCCAGTCAGGACATTACCCTAATATATTGCCCTAATACGCTGGCTTGGCAGCAGAGATAACTAGTCCCTTCCTGAATTAAGTTCTAGGAACCTCACTGTGGGAAAAGGTAGTGACTCTGGGTTCCTCCTCCTCACATAAACATGGCTTGGAAAGGATAGGGCCTACCAACCAGTTTTCTCATTAGAAAACAAGAGTCATAATTCTTAGCTTTGTTTCAAGAAATAAATGAGACAATATACGGGAAGCCCTTAGATCTGAACATTGTATATATTAAGTGTTTAATAAATGTTAGCTAATGTCTTCATAATTACCATTGTCCTAGCAATCTGGGTGCCAATGTGCTACAGGGATAGGGCTGGAGAGGCACCAGCCTCCCTCCCTTGTCCTCTTCCAAGCTTGGCCTTTCTCTAGGAAGTGTCTCCTTGGTTCCTACCTTCACTTCTCCACTAGCTCCCACTCTCAGAATCTTGCTCCTCAATCCCAGCTTTGAGCTGCATTTCTCCATCTGCAAATCAGGGTTAATTATCCTGTCCCACCCATCTTCTCAGGGCTGGAAGCAAACATATGGGAAAGTGTTTTGGAGACAGAGCTGTTGTCTTATGAAGATGACACGCTTGAGACTCAAGTTTCTGTTGCCAGATGTGGAGGCCTGGCCAACCCATGTTCCAAAGAGCTGGGGTGGGGCTGGGTGCCCAAAGCTTTCCATCCTCCAACTCCCTCCAGATTGCTCATGCTGGGACCACTGTCAGGCCCCCTCCTCCTGTCACAAGCAGAGGCCCAGTGAGGGAAGACAAGAACCCAGAGCCTCTTGCCTGTAATCACGGCTGTCACCATGGTTGTTGGGGGTGGGGGTCAGGGTGGGGGCAAAGGGTTTCTTCTCCTCTTTCACCCCTCAGGCCTGGCAAAACAGAGTTCCAAGAGACCCGGCTAAGTCCTGCCTGGGCCTGTCTAGGCAGCTGGATCTTTCATACTTTCACTAAGTGGCTGAGAACACCCCAAAGCCTGCACGGCAAAAGTCAGAGCCAGACCTAATGTTGAGACCACTTCCCCTTCTGTATAAAGGTAGTCCCTTTAAAGCAAGGAGGAGCCTGGGGGTGTCAAAGGCCAGGCTATAAGAGGCGCTAGGGAGCTACAAAGGGAAGTGTTTAATGAGCAGATGCCAGCACGCAAAATTTCACACCCCACTTAGCAGCCGGATGCCCAATGGGGAGTGGTGTGTGTGTACTTGTAAGTGACTATGTATGTATGAAGTGTGCTCCTGGGGTAGAGGTGGGAGGGTAGGAGTAAAGGTGAAGGGAGGGTGGCAAGTAGGGTCAAGAGAATGAATGCATGCCGAGGAACCAGCTGGTAGAGAGGAGATAGAGCCTGCTTAACTGATTCCTTTTCCTCTGCCTTACTGGATCAGGGCTTGCCCCCATCTCTGCCCATACATCCTTCCTGCTCCCTTCCTCAGAATTATACAAATACACATGTGTGCACTCACACACCACAGAGTGATGCTGGTTGAAGCTTTGCAGTAGGCTCAAACAGGGCTAGACTACCCAGGCAGGCTCCCCAGGGAATTAGCCTGTGCGGTGGGACAGAAGCCCAGTCTCCTCAGAACAGACAGTTCTTTCCCTGGTTCCAAAATCTTCCGTGGCTCCCCACTGCCAACAGAACAAGCTCCTTCTGCCTCAGTCTGGCATTTGAGATCTAAAACAACCTCTCTGGTCTCCTGTAAATACCTCTGACACAGTCCCTTTTAGAAGGGCCTATTAGATTCTGATGTCTCTGACATCTTATTCACCAGTCTGGCTCTAGTTCAAGCTCCAGGTTCACACAGCCAACTGTCTGGAGGGCACCTCCCTCTGAGTGTCCCTTGGGCTTCTTGTATTCACTTCTGGCCAAACCCATCTCTCTTTTGCCATTTCTCACTTCTGTGGATGCCCTACTGGGCATTCCAAACCCAGGCAGCATGGATTCTTCCCTTTCTCCATATCCAATCAATTGTTTTACCTCCTATTGATTTGACCATCCCAGTAGCTCTTAACCCCATCTTCTCTCTTCTGTCTCCATTTCTCCAGCCTAACTCAGGCTTCAAAACTGCTGACTTTCAAAACACAAATATGACCATGTTATCCCTCTGCCCCAAACCCTCTGATGGTTGGGTAGTGATTTTCAAATTACATGCAGGGGCCAAGGGGTGTTATAATAGGGGGACCTTAACCAAGCAGGACCCTGATCCTATCAGAGAAGCTCCACTCTCATCTTTTTAATATGTTTGGCTTCTGTATTAACACTTCCTTTGAAACCACTGATTTATAATGTCCTAGCTTCCTAACTTGATAAATAAGTGCGCTCATGATCGGGTACCCATCCTTTTCTCAGGCTCTACTCCCCTCTTTGTTTCTTGCATGGTTACCAAATGATGCTTGATGTCTCATGTCATTGCAAGTGTGACTCCACCGTACCCTTCTTCCTATAACTAATACTTTCTCATTCCTCAGTGTTCAGCTCAGGTGTTGTTTCCTCTAGAAAGACCTGCCTGGCCTTTCTTCCCCTGGTCAATGGGGATGCACACACCTCTGTACACACACCCCTCCTCTGATTAGCCTGTGGCTGTGGTTATCTACCTACCAGGGACTCCAAGAGATCAGGCCTTTAAATGTCCTCAGCAATCAGAGGGGCAAACGGGGAGGAGTTCTGGGATGAGTGAGTGGATGAATGAATGAGGAATAAGAGGAAAAGAAGAGAACAGGAAATGAATAAATGAGTCAGACAGGTCCCTCCCAAGTCACATGCCATGTCTCTGGCCAGGAATCCTGAGTTTTCCATTTTGCAAAAGACAATAGCCCAGTTTTCCTGCCAGGATGGTAGGAAAGCAGAAGGCTACTCCTGTCCAGGTGAATTCCCATCTTCTTGGGATATGCCCAGTGAAAGTGATAATGTATTTTCTCAATTCCCTTTTGAGTTAGAGTAGGGTGGTTGGTCTGGGTCCCTGCCTCTCTCAGCTCAACCAGAGATGCTAAATGCTTGGTCCTGAACTATGTGAACTGGGAACTCTAGGGCAGGCTGATGTTTGTTCAATCTGATCAGGTCTCTTCTCTCCCTGAGCTTACTGCAGGTATCTTCCCCATGCCGGGGAAACCTCCACTTGTCTGGAGATAATGAATGGGAAGGTGGACTTTTTTGGTGGAGAGAACTCCTGAGGCTGCAAACCCTGCTCCCTGTTTTGATGAAGAAAAGCAGAAGGATGAAGGAGGAAGCTGAGAGGGTACCATGTCCCTTGTTTCTGGGAAGTCCTTCTTCTGCTCAGTCCTATCTGGGAGTTGAGATTCAGTGCCTTAGGTGTGTGTCCACATGGTTCAGGGACAGAAGACGCAGAGTTGGGGAGCATAGATGGGAAAACAAAGTCCACGTGCTGCCTAATGAGCCCAGAGACGTTGGGCAACTTGAGGCAGAAATTCATCCTTAGATTCTCTCAGATCTGCCCATAGGGGAAGAGTGCACAGCCTCAGAAGGATGGGGACCTTAAGAAAGGGCCTGCGAAATCAGAGCTAAGAGACCTAAGAGTGAAACTGAAATCTATTTCCAGTGGAATAAGATGGGAGACACAGAGTCAGGGTGAAATCTAGCCCCAATATCCAGGTGATGGTCAGTCCCAGTCTGGTCTTGGGCTTCTACAGAGGCCCCACCCATCACTCAAGACCTGTGTGAAGAAGAGAGGGTGCTACAGAGAGGTCAAGGACAGACCTCACCTACCAGGCCTGTAGCCCCACTGAGAGGGTAGGCAACAGCAACAACCAGTTTGGGAGTTTCTCCAATTTCACCCAGACAGCAGAGGAGAGAGTCCCTGCGGGGAGTTGAGGAAGCCTGTAGACAAGAATCTGAAGTCTTTAACATACATTTGGCCCTTGAACAACACTGGTTTAAATTGAGCAGGTCCATTTATATACAGATTTTCTTCCACCTCTGCCACCCCTAAACCAGCAAGACCAATCCCTTCTCTCCCTGTTCTTTCTCAGCCTGCTCAACATGAAGACAAGGGTAAAGACCTTTATGATGATTCACTTCCACTTAATGAACAGTAAATATATTTTCTCTTCCTTATAATTTTCTTTCTTTCTTTCTTTCTTTTTTTTTTTTTAGGATAACAAAGAGACATTTTATTTAGGAAGAACAAAGAGACAGTTTAGAGGACTTCCAAAGAGAGTTGGAAGTGGGTCCCTCTCATGAAGGACAAAAGCTGAGAGAGATGGAGACTCAAAGGTCTGCAGTAGTATAAATATTCTGTTTGAAATTGGTTGCAAGTCTTTCATTGGCTTCTCTGCATCTCCAGGATGTATTGCTCTTTTCTATTGGTCATTGGCCTTCCAATTTTCTTCATAACATTTTCTTTTCTCTAGCTTACTATAATAGATATACGAACTATTGGCTATTAATGTTATGAAGAGGGCTTCTGGTCAATAGCAGGCTATCAGTAGTTAAGGTTTGGGGGGAGTCAAAAGTTATACAAAGATTTTCAATAGCACAGGACATCAGCACCCCTAATACTATGCTATTTAAGGGTCAACTTTATTCAGCTGGAGCCTGTCAGGCCTAGAGGCTTCCAGTTAAGGCCTCTGAGTTACTTATCGCCATACCTAAGAAATCCTTGGCAGACGGACAGGGCCCTCCGGATGGGAGCTCTGGGGTAGCAGATCCTAGCTCTTACTGGACACACTCTTACCTCCTGATTTCTACCTAATGCCCTTCCATGCCTCTTCTTGCACCCATCTTCTTAGCCTCTAAGCTGGTACCAGTCATATCCATATCCTTGCCTGTGGCCCCAGGCCCTGAGTTCTCTTCTCAGTGGCTCTCAGGCCCATATCTCACTCCCATCCCCACTTTACCCATCCTGGTTTGAGGCTGACCTGCCATACAGGGTCTGTGTGCTTGCCAGACTTGGCTGTGCTGCGGAAGGAGGGCTGAGACTGAGGCTTCTTGAGGTTGTAAATGGCCACATTGCCGTCATAGTGGCCCACTACCACCAGGTAGGGGTGGTCCACATGAATGTCGAGACACATGATGCCGCTGTCACTGCTGAAGATGTATTCTGGGAAGCTGGGGTTCTTCATGCTGTAGAGCAGCAGCATGCCTCGGCTCTGCTTCATGAAGTCATCTACCCGGGGAAGATGGGTGGCTACAGTTGGCAAATCCAACTGCCCTGCTAGGGGGTACCCCTAGGCCCTACCCCACCAGAAGGGCAAGCCCTGCCCTACTCTGCCTCTGTCAGAGAGTGCAGGATTCCTCTCTGGGCTTCATCTTCTCAGTCTGAGAAATAGAATTATGAGACTTGGTTTGTCCCTTCTCAGAGTTCATAGAAGAATACAACAACCAGTAAAGGGGACCAAGACTATTTTTATTTTCCCTGAGGTACAGGAAAAAGGGACACAGGCTCAAAGAATTACTAAGTGAAGAATGTGTGGGGTTAGGAAGGAGCAGTACTATTGGAGGGCATTCAGATGCCCAGCCCAGGGGCAGGCTGCTGCCCTATAGATGCCTGGATAATGCTCACATGCCTTGCCCCCAGCCAAGGATGAGTTAAGCTTGAACTAACATGGAATTGTCCATAATAATTCCCAAACTAGCCATCTATGAGCATCTCCTCATACCCTCTGGCTCCACAGTCCCAGTTGCAACCTAAGCCCTAGCTCTAGGCATCTCCCCAGCGCCAGAAGTCCTAGGGCAGCCAGTTAGGCTGCCACAGGCCCACTGGTGCTCATCAGTGGACCCTTAGCAAAGGTCCTCCTCTCTACCTGCATATGTCAAAGGAGCACCTCCTACTCTTTCATATTTTGCATGCTTGGCACCCTTCCTGAGATGTGGCCACTGAACAGTCCCAGCCCTCAAGACCAGCAATCCTGCCACTAGCCCAGTCCTCCCAGCTTCTTCCCAAGGTCAAAGGAGCCAGACTTGGAGAGGTGGAAGGCTACTGCAGCCCTCCATCTTGGGGGCCCTGTACTAAGGCAGCATTTGGTCAACATGAGGATCTTCCCCTCCCTCCCTGCTCCAAGGTTACCTTCTTCACTGGCAGGGCCTCTTCTTGCACCCATTTTCTTAGCCTCTAAGCTGGTACCAGTCATACCAGTGGTCCTGAGAGGACCACCTCTTAACAAAATGGCTGTCCTGAGATGTGAAGCCAATAGGTAGGAGAATAGGAGCCCCAACTTGACTAGTTTTGCTGGGTTATTCTCTCCTATTTCTAAGGGTATCTCTTACTTAAGAGAGTAAGTGACTGGGCTAAGCTCAGGGACAATCTGAGTCCAGCCCCTGGGCTCAAAGGATGAGCTTATCTACCACCAGATCCCAGGTATACCCTTCCTAGGCAGTCTGCAAACACCAATCTGTTTTCTGACTGGTAATGAGGAGCTGCCAGGAGCCAGACTAGCTTTAGAAGGGTACAGCTGGAGCTGTGGCAAATGGTATTCTATGCAGAAGCCCACCTACTCTGTGGGACCTAATCCTTGTCAGCTCTGACACTCAGGAACTCCTTTCCTGATCACTTGCAAGGGAAGCCACACATTTAAGAAGGGGGCTGCCTCTGGGGTAAAGGTGCCAGTGTCCAGCCTGAGCCAAGAGGAGGGCATGCAGTGGTTCAGGAAGGAAGATACATCTGCTTTGGGGAAAGTGATCCTCCCAGGCAAACAGGAGGGGCTTGGGGGTTTCTGGATTCCCTGGAGCCAAAGCTGGGTGACCCTGGGCCTGGCTCCATCTCAAACCCTGAGCTGGCCTTAATGTGGGTGAGGAAAAGCTGGCAGTAAGTCACTCTGTGGGGCTTCAGTGTGACCCTGAGGGCTGACTTTCCAAAGGAAAGCTGTGCAGATGTCTGAGGGAAGTGTCCTCCTTCCCACCTAGATCATGAAGGGTTTGACCAGGACAGTGTGAAAGTCTCTTTAGCTCTTTTTGTTCATCCAGCAAATCCTGCACATCTGATCTGGGCCTCACCCTGGGGTGGCTCCTGCAGGGACAGAGACACTACCTGAGACATGGGTCTTCCCTTAGCAGACCCTAGTCTTATGAGTGAGCCAGACCTTACAGGTGAGTGCATAATCAACATGCTAACTGCCAGGTCAGAGGTGAGCCACTGATGCTCTTGATTTTAATCCATCTTCGGCTGCCAATCAAGACTGACAAAGGGTGAATAGGTAAGCAGGCAAGTGAGTGGGTGAATAAAACAGTGAATGAATGAGTGGGCGGGTGACTAATGCTCATGCCAAGGACACTGACGCTCTCCTTGTTGCACCAAGTGGCAATGGTGGGCATGATCCTCGCATTTGCTCTTACTGTGACCCAGGATTTGGCCTTGGAAAGACAGCAGTGTGATTCACTTTCTCTAGACCAGCGGTTCTCAACCTGTGGGTCGCGACCCACAGGAACTCTATTAAAGGGCCGTGGCATTAGGAAGGTTGAGAACCATTGCTCTAGACAAACTCCAAGAGTCCCTACCCCTACATGTGTGCACAGAGTGTTCATGACCAGTGCTACCAGGAAAGGAGAATAGGAAACCCTCAGACCAAAGCTCTAATTGCCCTCAGATGACTCTGCCAGCACCCTGACAGAATGGTGCCCAATGAGGAACATGGCTTGAACTAGCAACCATCAGTGGGGACCTCAGCCCCACAACTCTAACCCTGCCAGCAGTTAACAGCTCTTGATCATGGCGGGGTCACTTTGGAGTATTCCACTGTCAGGAGAACCCTGGGCTCCTACTTGGGATTCGGGGAGAGTGAGGTAGGCAGAGAGCATGTTGGAGAATCAGGCTAACACCAGGTCAGTGGTCAAGAAGAAGTAGATGCCAAGCTGCAGAGATAATGATCCCAGACAGCCTCTGACAGCAGGCTCCCTCTTTTACTGTGGTGTCTTGAATGAGTCCAGCCCAGGACTGGCTCCAAGGCAGCAGCTGGTTAATGACTCCCTTATTAAATCATGCAAGAAGCACTTGGAGGGGGCATTGGTAGACAGAATAATGCCCCTACCACCACCCCCGACAAAGAAGTCCACATTCTAATCCCCAGAACTATAAATATGTCACTTTGCCGGCAAAAGGGACTTCAAGGATGTGATTAAGTTAAAAACTTTGAGATGAGATTATCCTAGATTATCTGGATGGACTCAATATAATCACAAGAGTTCTTATAAGGGAAAGAGAGAGGCAGGAGAGCAGAGGAGGAGATGTGACCACAGAAACAGATGTCAGACTGATGCGATTGCTTGCTGGAAGAGGGCCCCAAGCTGTGGAATGTGTGCTGCCTCTAGAAGCTAAAAAAGCCAAAGAAATAAACGCTCCCCTAGAGCGTCCAGAAGGAACTCAGGCCTGCAGACACCTGATTTTGGCTCGGTGAAACCTGACCCCCACAACTGTAAGAATAAATGTGCGTTGTTTTAAGCTATTATGTTTATGCCAATTTGTTACAGCAACAACAGGAAACTAATATAGTAGGCATTTAAGGAAAGTTGACTCAAACTCCACTTTAAGGAATCTGAGGGAGTCCTATCAATGGCACTTTTTTTCTGGGATGGCTTGAAAGCAGCCCCTCTAGAAGCCAGAGGGCCAGATGCAATGATACTCAGCTCTTCTGATTACAATAACGAAACCCTCCCTCAGTTTCCCACATCCCAGCATTGCCACCTTGGATTCTAGGAACAGAAATGTCCTTTGTGTTAGCATTTTCACAGTTTCCAAAGGCAGGGGACAAGCCCAAGGTTACCCCAAAGAATATCAGTTGCTAGAGGGTTCCAAGCCTCAAGCATGGACCAGAGGCCATGGTGCCAAGCTGGGCTCAACTTCCCAGGCAGCTCAACTTTCCCAGGCACTCTCATTTGATTAGAAGTCATATTTAAACAGTGTGAAAATAAGAGCAAGGCCTTAGAGACAGAATACATCAGGCGGGACATTTAATTTGATTTAGGGAAAATGAGACAAACATTTGAGAACCTAAATAACTAACCAGTAATTAAACTAACAACAGGAATGCCCTTGCACTACAACCCAGCAAGCACAGTGGCCTTTATGGACTATATTTACAAAGAGACCTGACAACATAATTAGTCCTGTAAATTTTATGCAGCCTGCAGCTAAGGAGTGATGGATTTTGTATGTGGAGGATGAACAGGGAGAAATGAGGTGGATGAATTTCCATTTTCAGTAAATGAAATTAACACTGCTTAATTAGTGAAGCTGACAAATAAATGATCAGGAAAGATTTAAATCCCTACAAGTGTATCTCTGGCCTGGGCAGGCTGAGGGATGGGCCACAATGTAGTGGGACAGAGTGGAAATGGGTTTAGCACTGGGCCGTAGGGCCTGATGTTGGCCCCTTTTGAGGGTGCTGTCCCCAGAGGGAAGGTGGGTTGAGGGACAGGTAGCTCCCCTGCCCTTCCAATATGTGGCTCACTGTGAAGCTTCCTGCCTCATTTCCCGTGTGATAGCCTCAGAACCACACAGAGCATCCAGAATCTGTTCTACCATCCCTGCCTGGCAGACCATGAGGTGCTCCTACTTCCTTGCCATGAACTGACTAATGGGCTAGAAAAAAGCCCTTAGCCCAACAGGCTGACATAATTGTATCCCAGCAGTCCCAAGGCTAACTCTTCCTGAACTAGCTACCATTGCCCTCCAACCCTCCTCCACTACTTTCACTTGCTGCTAGTGCTTTCTCTACTCTTCTGGGGACATGGAACCCAGCTCCAGTCTCTGCTTATTTTCTGCCCTTTTGAGGATGCTGACATCCCCACCACTAGTACCCAGAAGCCACAGAGGGGGCATGTGGGGATGCTTCTGTTACAGGCAATTACCTAGACTTCCTTTTTCTCATCTTTTTGCTCCTGGCCTGGCTCCAACAAGTCTTATCTGTCCCCAAAATGGAGGACCGGCTATAGTCCTTCCTAGGATATATACCTACCTCTGCCAAAGTTTTATTTGGGTAGATTACAGAATAAATACCTGGGAATTCCAAGCTAAAGGAGGTTTATGAGGTCTGGACTGAGCTCATCGGGGTCAAACTCAACAATAAACCCAAATTCTTATTCCAGTGTTTGTCTACATGAGGCAAAATCTGATTATGGGAGATCTGTATCTGGGAGCTTCCAAAGACAGTGTGATGGATGCTGGTAAGACCAGCTGCTTCTCACAATGGCCCCAGCCAGCAACTAGGGTGCCTGCCTGCCTCAGCTGTGCCTTCTTTCTTCCATAGAGGCACCTGGGTGCTCAAGAGCATGGGACTCCCAGAAGTGACCTCAGAAGTGGATGTGGGGGCCTTTCTGAGTCCCAGCCCAGCCTGCCTCTTCTCAGGCCTCTGCAGGTGGTTCTGAGATATGCAAGGATCTGAAGAATAGATGCTTTTCAGATGCTTATCTGAAAACCAACAACTCCCAAGCCAGTGACAGCAACAGCAAATACCTCTGTGGATGCCACTGATTCTTGCTCCCTAAGAGAGATTCCCTTCTGTCTACACACCCCATTTTCTCTGCTCAGGTCCCTGAGGGTGCTGCAGGAAAGCTAGAGGAAAAAATGACAGACAACTCAGCAACAACCGTCCTTTATATGTAGGTGGTTCCCCCAGTGTGCAGGGCACATTTCCTTCTCTTCTCTCAAGTGTGCCTCATAACAGCCCTGGGATGGAGGCCTGGCAAGTTGCCAGGCTCTCCATATCACCAATGAGGAAACCTTTGAGAAGGCTCAAAGAGGCTTCTGGCTCCAGGTACACCGCTTGGGAGTGACCTGAAGGAAAAGGTCTGTGCTGACCATGGGCAGCAGTCATGCATGTGTGTGTCACTAAAAGGACCAACAAAGGACATAGAGACGCTTCCTGGGTAAATGACTGACCAGGGGAGGTTACCAGACTTGTCATATCTGTGAGAGGTAAGTCACTCTTCTGTATAGCTCCTGACTAAGGCTGCCCCAGCCCTCAGTATGACTCCAACCAGCTGGCCTTGCTTCTGACCCTGGGTGGGAGGAGGGTGGGCTAAAACTGAAGTTTCTCCTCCCACCTCCTGGGGAGTCCCCCAGACCTCCACCTCAGTTCTAGGCAGAGAGCCTGGGCTGACAGCAGACTCACAGGGGGTCCACACCCACTCCTTAGGGAACCTGCCCAATCCCCAGGCCCTGTTCCAGGCCCAGTAGCTACAGCACAGGGGGAGGAATGTGCTAGCTCCCTGCCAGAGGGGGAGGGTGCTTCCCATTTGGCAGCAGCCCACCCTCAGGAGTGGGGACACAATGCAGGCATTTAGGGCATCCTCAAAGGCAGCGCAGACCACAAGACTGGGAGCAGTGCCAAAGTCTCCTCCCTGAGAGGAATGACAAACACCAACTCCTCCTCTCCCTCCCCTTCCCTAGCCCTGGTCAAAGAATGGGCGGCCAGGCGGTCTGAGGGGCAGAGACCAGGAGCTTGTAAGCTTGCCAGCCAGCAGCAGCTTGGAGAATGGAAAGGTTTTTCTGTTTGCAGAAGCTGATCCTCCCAGCCAGAGAACAAGCTGTTAGCATTGGGAGCTGCAAGTAGTACGAAGTATAGGGCCCTCTCCTGTCAGGAAGGGGGAACTTCCAGGCTAGCACAGTGGTAGGGGCTTCTGCTGGAACCAAGAAATGTGAAGGGAAAGAAAACTGTCCAGACACAGTTACCTTCCTGCTGCAGGTGTGTAACTGGCAGGGGCATGGACACTCTGGATAGCAGTGGTCTCCCAGGGCTCAGGGGCCAAGGAATGAACTTCAAGCCCTTGCTTCTCTCTCCCCCGCAACTGATCAGGAATGGCTGATGAGGAGGCCTGATGAGGGCAAGGGGGCCTCTATCCCTGCTCCACGGCTATGGTGGTGAGATCCAGCCATCTCTTCTTGGGAAGCCTGCACCAGTCTTCCTAACCACTTTCCCAGTCTCCACTCTTATGCCTACAGTTCCACCTTATAGTAGTCATGTCCCTGTCCTTGAATTCTTTCAATGGTTTCCCCTCAGGAGAAGGTCCAAGTTTTCTTGGAATGGCTTACAAATTCCCTTGATGGCTGACCCTGGCCCCTTTGACAGCTTCATTTCCTGTCATATCTCTCATGCCTCCAGACCTTTGCGTATATGGCTCCCTCTGCCAGAAGTGTTCTCCCCTCCTTCACCAGAATAACTCCTTCAAGGTTCTGATGGCATATTCAGCCTAATCCTTTACCCAGAACTAATCACTGGTGACTATGTTCTAGTCATCTTTGCATTCCTCACACCTGGCAAAGAGCTCTGCACAGAGCAGGTACTTAGTGTTTCCTGTTTGCACGAGCAAATAATGAATAGCCAGATCACTTACAGGAGCCATGTCCCACTGCAAAAAGATCCCTGTACTTCGGATTCCTGTAAAAGAAACATGAACCCATTGGCACTAGAAATGAATATGGCGCTCCAACAGACAAGGGCACTGGTACCTAACTGCACTGCAGATATCTACTTTCCAGTGTAGGCCTTCACCAACTGGGCGATCTCAGATGATCTTGTAATCTCATAAGAATTCTATTTTTCTCATACTGCCACATATTACACTCAAGATAGTTAAAAGCTACTCTGGGCTTGGCTTGTGATGGGGCGCTCAGGGTCTGCTGTAATACCTATACTCACCAGCAGAGGGCGGTGACCGCGAGGCGCTTGGCTTTGTCATTTTGGAATTTCCAGAGCGGCAGCAGGGTCCCCTCCTGGTCTCGGTATTCGTCAGCAGCATCCTCATAGTACTTAAAATCTTAAACACACACAGGCAAAGTCAGATGTGGGACTGCCACTTTAAGGCAAAGCCAGGTCTACCACTTATTGTCTGTATCCCCGTGGGCAAAACAGCGAACCTTTGTATTTTAGAGCGGGAATATTAACAGTGTCTCTCTCAGATGACTGCTGTAGGGATATAGTAATTAAGGTAATATATGCAAAGAACTTATATACTCTGACACATAGTAAGCTCTATGTGTTAGCTATGGTTACTGTCATTGTTATTATTGTAGGAGGTAAACTACAATAAAGCAGCTATGTCCACATGGATAAAATCCCAGGTTTGCAGCCCCTGTCCCCAAGAGTTGCCCTAGAATTTCAGACGACTAAGATGAGAGCAAATTTCAATGTTCAGCTGCCAAGGGCTGATTAACAGTTCTATCCATTCTGCCTCTTAAATCCATAAAATGCCGCCCCTCTTCATATTCACTGCCAAGTCTCATTATAATGAAGCTGACTGGATCCCCCTGAAGTCAACTTCATCTGCTGCCCTCAAAACTGTCTCTGCCTCTGATTTTCTCTAAGGAAATGTTTCTTAAGTAGAAATATCATCCTTCTACTTGTCTCAAACAAGAAACCTGGATAAATCCTTTAATGATCTCTATCATTTCTCATATTTTCCTACTGATTATCTTTTTAATCATTTTACTTCTTTCCAATCCCATAGCCACTGCCCAGATTCAGGCTCCAATATCTATCACCTGGATTATTACAACATCCTTCCTCCCTACCTCCAGCCCATGTTCCACAGAGCTACCAGAGTGAAAAAACAGATCACCTCACCACACCATTCTCCCCACCCCAAATGAAACCTCCTCAGTGGCTCTCCTTTCTTGGGGTTCCCTAGTCAAACCAAGGTTCCTAGCTATTACTTTCATATCATTTCTAGCTAGCTGTTCATGTACCATCTACATCAAATAGTGCCAATGTGTCACATTATCTCACGTTTCTTTGTTTTTCTACATGCTTTTTCCATGTCTAAAATGTCCTCTTCCTGGCAAACTCCTACTCACTCCAGATCCAGATCAAACCCCTTCTTCTCTGTAAGGCCTTCACTTCCTTTTCAGCAAAGTCAGTTTCTTTGCCTCTCCTCTCCTCTACTGGAACATCTGCTACACTTTGTTGCCTCTCTTTATTCTTATGCCTGCCTCCCTCACCAGACAGCTCTTGGGGAGCAGGAAGCATTCACCTCTATGTCCCCAGTGCCTAGCACAGGGCCAGCCACAAAGCAGACACCCAACAACTATTTATAGAATAAAATGAAGTAGATCAACAGAAGTGATATGGTTCTATGTATTTTTTTCCACTGAAGGGTGAACATTTAAAAAATGAATCATCTCATTCCACACAGCCAAAGACATGGCCAGGCATTGCCCCAGCCTTTCCCACAATGCCCCACACCTTGAGGTTATGGGATTACACTCACACCTCAAAAATTTCTCATAACAAAAAAGATTCAGAGAGGTGTGAGCCTTGATCACATCCGATATTACCCAGCTTTGGTTATCTTTGAAAATACCTCATTTCAGAGTGGAGATTAATTAGCAACACTTCTCTATTTTCACTTCTTCATGATTATATTTTCCCAAAGGGAAAAGAGTATGCAATTAAAAAAATCAAAGTTCAATGAATTTTTATGTGATTGTGTTCTTATAAATGAAAGTGGTTCACCAAGACCAATTGCTCCATGGATATTAATCAGGTTTGCAGCCCTTTGGTGGGCCACTTGCAGAGGCTGGTTTTCAGAAAGCCAAGCTGTGCAAGTGACAGATTCATTCACAGCTGCTGTGTACTTTGACAGCTTTGAAAAGCACTCAAGGTCGTTTTCCAGCCTGAATGATAACAAGGGGGCTTGTTTAGACTGCTGGTTTTGGCAGCCTTGGTTTCTATGTCCCATGGGTGAGCAATGAGCATCAAGTCACTAAGAAGAGCCCTAGGCTGTCAGCAAAGGAGACCAGCCAGCAGCAAGGAGCTGCCAACTCTGGGGAGGCAGCCGCTCCAAATAAATGCACAACCTCTTAGGGAAATACAAGCCACTTGGGAATGTACTGTTCATGCCATGGGAAGGATTCCATTTCCCTGACACTGTCAAAGACACCACAAATTCCCAGGCCCCCTGGATCTAAGCATTTCTGAATCAATCTCTTTCTTCACCCCATTATTAATCACCAGGATAGATCTATTGAGGGTTTTTATTTGAAATGTCTCTTCCAGTTCCGTGGCTTTGTAGCCTAGTGGTGAAGTGCTAGACTATCAGTTCAAGGGGCCTGTGTTCGAGTTCTGATTCTACCACTCACACCTCACACAAGCTGTGATTTTGAACAAGTGGCATCGTCCCTGCCTGAGTGTCTCATCTTTAAACTGGAGATAATAAAGAATGGTATTCACCTTCCAGTATGGTTGTCAGGAAAAAATAAAATAATACATTTAAATTACATAGCACAATACCTGGCACACAGGCCATTCCAATGAATGTTGATGCTTATTTCTCACTGTTATAACTATGACACAGGCTGGGTCAGGTGTGGCAAGGCCCATCTCACTCCATACTTGAACCTCAGCTTAGTTTCCCGGCATGATATTCAAGGCCCTTCATAAACTGGCTCCAACCACCTCTCCAGCCTAAAATCTCATCACTTTCCCACAAAGCTATTGTTTAGGTCAATGAGCCTACTGCCCCTATCACTAGAGTCCACTCCTATTCCTTTTTACCACCAAGTTACTGTTCTAGCCCTCTCCTACCCAAAATGTCCTCCCTCACCTACCCTTCCTCTCAAACTCTGCTTATCCCTTGGCATCTGGCTCAGTCTCCTCACTTCTTTAACAGCTGTTAAGTCTCTCTTCCTTAACAGCTCCTACTTGTCCCTCACATTTCTTCCTCCCTACTCACAGATACCAGAGCACTCTATGCCATACATTCAAGCACTTATAGCCTTCCCAAGCTGGGCTGGGTAAGAGGACAGAACACAGAATAAGGGAAGCTTAAGCCCTAGATTTGGGTTCTCTGTGCCATTCACTAGCCAGGTGGCCTTGGCCCTATCTTCCTCACATATAAAGTAGGTGTAATCATCTCTGCTCTGACTGCCTCCTGGGATTGATGGGAAGATGACAGTAGATCACTAAAGTGTGGGTGTTTTTTGCTACACAGTGGTCAGATCTTATTACTCTACCTACTGTTTTTTATGCCATTGCTCATGGTTGATCTGTGAAGTCTTATCTCCCTAGTGACATCCAGAGAAAGAGGGATTATGTTTTCTTCCCTATACCTATAGGGTGAGACACTCAAATACTAACCTTTTATAAGGAAATTTTAATGCAGGCAATAATAGTGGTTTCTAGCTCTTCAAAACTTACCTTGAGCAATGTCATCATATGTATTCTGGTTAACCATCCGCTCCACTATTTTAGCAGCTTGAGACACTTTGGTGATATCATCACTCTGTGGGAATAAAGAAGCCACAGGTCCTCATAAGCCAGCTCCTGGTAAGGACGCATGCCCTGAGCCACAGCCCAAACTTGAAATTGGTTCAGCAATGCCTCTCTCACACTGCCCATCCCAGAAACCTCTGCAAAGGCATCTCTGCCTCCCTCAAGGTCCAGCTCACCTCACTACCTGCTTCTAGGAACTTCTGCCTCACAAGTGGCACAAAGGGTCTGAGCTGATATACCTGGCCTCTAGATAAAGCCTGCTTCATGCTCTTTCATTCTGAGGTTGTTTTAGACATAGAGCATAAGACAGGGCATTAAAGAGAGCCCAGGAAGTATATTGGAGGGAGAACAGAGAAGGGCAGGTAGGAGGCTTCTTTGGTGGGAACAGAGAGGTTTTTGTCAACTCAGGAAAGGACCCAGACTCCCATTAAATGTCTCAGAGATCTCCTGGTCCAACCATTTACCTAGTCAAAGATTGAGGAGACACAGAGACCCAAAAAGGGTGGAGGGAGACATGTTTTTACACATGGAATATGAAGTAGAATTGAAACTCCTAATCCCAAGGCCTTCCCATTGCCCAGACCAAAGAGAAAGCAGGAAGTTTTACATCAGGAAAAAATGACTCATTTTGAATGAAAAAGATCATTATGTAAAATCCCATAAAGCCACAAGGTGAATCACCTGGCATGTTAATAAGAGAACAAAGAGTTTGGGATTGATAAGAAAGGCCCAAATTGTTTGGGACAAGTGGCAGGAGTGAACAAGCTGAGTAGGCAGCCTTCCAGGGAGGGTCACAGGCCAGTCCCATGTTCCCCAAAATTAGATTTCCCAGAAGCAGCAATGTCAGGCAGTGCTTAAGAGGATGTGTTCTAGAGCCACACAGACCTGTATTCCTATACCCACCCACCTATTAGGAACCAGCTAGAAAACTTGGGCAAGTTATTTAACATCTCTGAGTCTCAGAGTCCTTATAATAAAGTAGGGGCAGATGATGGCGTCAGCATCATAAGGTTACTGTGAAGACTAAATGTGGCTTGGCGTCTGTGCACAGTGGTTACAGCACCAGCCACATACACTGAAGTTGGAGGGTTGGGACCTGGCCCGGGCCAGCTAACCAACAATGACAACTGCAACAAAAAATAGCTGGGCATTGTGGCAGGCACCTGTAGTCCCAGCTACTTGGGAGGCTGAGGCAAGAGAATCACTTGAGTGCAAGAGTTTGATGTTTCTGTGAGCTGTGACACCACAGCACTCTACCAAAGGTGACATAGTGAAACTCTGTCTCAAAAAAAAAAAAAAGACTAAATGCAACAATAAACATTATTATTTAACCCAGTTCCTGGTCAGGATAGTGTCAGAGAAACACGCAGACTAGTGCAGTAGAGCCCTATAAAGTCGCATTTGGGGAACTGCCCTTTAAGGGCCTTTTGCCATATCCCAAACTCACTCCAAGTTTATCTCAGAAAACTGACCAAGGAGCACATTCATCAAAGTCTTACAATCACAGTCTTAAATGTTCATCTTGTTCCCAGCTAATCCTCCTATTCTCTGACCCAAAGCAGGAATCTTCTGCCCTCAGCAGCAACCTGGCAAGCTTGACACTCCCCAGATCATTTTCTGTGATCAAATAGCCAATTACCTGAAACCTGCTTCCTGGGTCTTCTATCTATGACCCTAACTATCTTCTGGCCATAAGGAATTGTGCACCTGGTAATAGCTTCTCTGTTGTAGGAGAACAGTGCCTCATTTTGCCAAGTCAGCCCTTCCTCAGGTGACTCCATCAGTCATGGTATGTCATTTTAATAACAACAATAGCCACCACTTATTGATCAGTAGCATGTAAGTACTATGTCAGAGGCCATAAATACGTTGTCTTGGGTTGTCACAACAGTCTTGCAAAGCAGGTAGAATGTCTTTACAGATGAGGAAACTGAGATTTCAGAAAAAAACAGCTAATAAGTGGCAAAGCCAGAAAATAAACCAAGGTCTGTGGACTCCAGACCATGCTATGAGCCCCATGCAGACAGCCAGTCCCTTCCCCAGATTATCACCCTTCTTTGGGACCTGGGCGATTCATGTCTCTGAATGTGCTTCCAGGAGAGTGTAGTGGGTTATTACCTCCCTTGTCTGGGATGCTATGCTACTTAGGTATCCACATCTCTTCATTGGTTCTAATTGAACTATGACCTCTAAGCCCCTTCCACCATTCCTACCTAATTGTTCAGATCAGACAAGCTTACATTCATTTTTGTGCATTCACCCAAATCATTAATGAAACAGAAACTTGAGAGTTACCATTGGAGACTTTCCTACAAAGTATCATGAAGTTATTCTTTTCTCCCCTCCCACATACTTGAGTTTCATACCAACCTAATCTGACCAAGGTCTTTTTTTTTTTT